CTAGATGCTATTATTTAGAGAGCGTTGCCAAGGTAGCAGTGTATTGCAAACATTATATAATATGTAAATAATACTGTTATTATAAATGTGATACATCTATTCATATATATATTAAGTATACCTCAAATATTTAAAAATAAACTTAAAGTTGCCATCTTCGATGGTTTACTTGGACCTCAAACATGAACAGGCTGCTGACTACCGTTAGTGACAGAGTTGGTCTTAGGTGGGCGGGTTTTCTTCAATATTATTCTCTAGTATTAACATAATTTAGAATGAAAATTAAGAAACGCTTCACAAAGATATAAAAACGTCAACACATTTTTAAACGTTTTACAACAGCATGATTATAATTTGGTCAATCTTGTTAAATCTTGGCACGTGTTGATCGATGTGCAAACCTTTCGTTTGTTGAGTGAGGGCGCTGCAGAAATATATGCAGTACTGTCAGTTGGGACTGTCAAGTGTTATTTAACATTAGCTCTGTCAATAGTAAACGATGGCGAATAACAGAACCCGCACTATCTGTTAATGCTCAATAACATTTCTAGTAACATAATTTCGTTTATGTCTATGTCTATACATTATATGCATCCTCGACACAATAATAATATTTCACTTCATTTGTATGTGTATTTATAACTCGGTAAATTTGCTTTGAAATTAGACTTTACTTAAAGCGGAGGGGTCGTCACCTGCGTACGCGCGGGAATTGAGTCCTCGTCGACGATAACGACGCGTATTTCATGGGTGGACGCTTGTTTGTAAACAATTACACGCTTTGGTCATCTGACGCATGCGCAAGTGACGATATTCCCCGCTATTAAGAGATGCCCTTTCCTTTAAGGACAACATCAAAAGTTCAATGTAGGATAAAAAACTTAATTCCTTTAGCCCCCTCCCCCACTGAAATTTAATTGATAAATATTGATCATGACGTCAGACTACATTCACCATTAAATACAAATTGATAATCGGATAGTAGTATGGAATAGCAGTTGGTTTTAGGTCCATGCATTGAAATTGACCTCATTTGACGTACATATTTATTTACACTCGTCAAAACCATTTTCTCGTCTTGAATGTTTGTTGTTGTTTTTTTCATTTTCTGTCATTTTTGTCCGTGAAAAAAACGAACTACAAACTTCTCCAAGATTGTTTTGACTTCATTAAAAAATAAAATCGTATTTGTAGGATGGAAACTGTTTGAGGTCAAGACCCCCACCCCCAAACTAAAGCAAATAAGTTTTTTTTATCCGACATCGATCTTTTGACGTCGTCCTTTAGGACACACATAAAGGCATGCTACTAACTTATTAGTGGTAATCACATTACAATGTTCACGGCAGCAGACGATAATATTGACATTTTTCACAGTGCATCCTGCGGTGAATGTACTTGATATTCAAGGTCAATGTGTTCCCAGATAACACAAGTACTTAGGTCATACCATTCCATCGACGAGAGTCACGACCAGGTACATCAGTCAATCGGTCACTTTATTAACCTAACTGTATACATAACATTGTACATGTAACATATTACGTAATAGATCATGAAATAAACGAGACAGGAAGGACATAGAAACACATCATTCACGCTGGGCAAAATTTCCAATTAAAATCATAAAAGATGATATTTGTTTTAAATATTCAGGTCCTCAGCTGATTCCACAATCTAGGAGTCTGATATGCAAATCATATTATCTTGTTTTTGAGGTACCCTAGTTAGCTTTATTATTCAGTGTCTTATACGTCATCTTACATTTATTTTTTTTTGTTTAGCTATATATCTTATATATCTAGACATCTTTGATATTTGATTATGTTAATCAAAATACATTCAGCTCTCGACATCTTAGAGTAATTAGAGATGTGAGTTTACTGAAACCTGAGTTAAGTAAGCGGTCTAATGTTCTTCCGTTATCGTCGTATTCAATTTCATTTCAAAAGCCTCTTGTATAAACGCATTCAATTAACGTTGCATGGGTCATGATATATTCAAATTATTATCATCTTAATATATACATATCAGTCATCTTATGTACATTATATTATACACGGAAGTAGTTCAATTAGCGAGATGAACATTTTAGATTATCGTGAATAGAAACTACAGTGTATATCATCCCCACAAATAATAGAATGGTCCACATA